CATTTTGAATGATTCTGGAACCAGTTTTAAATTAATAATCCATGGAGTTTTAACTCCATATATTGAACTATAATACAACAACTGTTGCTAGAGGTACCAAGGTCGATGACTCTGATTTAACTAAACTTATGATGCGTGGGCTGTGATAACAGGCTATGAATATACGTGTACATATGTCGCAGAAAAAAAGACTTATGCAAATAAGATGAAAAATGGAAAAAAATTGCTCAACTTCTACTCTCCCTCCTCCTCTCCAAAATAAAATGCTCCTTTCTTAATAAAGTAGCCTAAGAACGGTCTATATTTTTTGCATTGATTGCCTTTTTTCAATCAGTTAACATCGAAATCAAGAGACATAAGAGTGACGTACAAAAAAAATATTCGCGCAAGGGAAAATTAAACGAAAAAAAATTCATGCATGCCAATTAACCCTAAGAAACATTCATGGTATGGCCTAAAAAAAATTCATACAAGGAATTCGATAACGAAAAAAAATTCCTGCGGCTCGAAAATCCCCCCCCCCCTTAACTTTTCTAATGGTCCGTCCCTTAGGAAACTCATAATATATAGATTTAGCCAGGGCTAAAAGCGAGGCTCCCATTAATAAATTTATAATTCAAATCAAACAATAAACTTGCCTTTCCACATTTCAGTTAACTTTATAGCACATTCAAGTGACTTTGAGGGAAAGGCTAAGCAATTCTAGAGAAAAATAATTTGCAAACAGCCCAAGAGTGAATCAAATCTTACATCGAGTTGATAGCCTCATATGTACACCAAAAAACTGGAAATCATCTTCGATCACATTTAAGAGCCATAATGGCTCTTGATCACCGTAGATTAATTAGGCCTGGAATTCAATACTCAGGACGATCGAAGCATGCGTGGGTTTTTAGCTAAACCGTTAAAAAAATTCCAAAATCACCTATACGGCCAGCCGGTTCTCACTTTTGCAGTGCGAGCTGTGGCGAGTGTTTGAATGAACATTAATTAGAGTTAAGCTCCAACAAAATAAAGAAATTATTATGTTTATTTTTTATTTAATGGTTTAACACGCGGCATTTTGAGTACTCCTGCAAGCGATGTTCACTGAAGGACTGAAAACAAACGGCACAGCGATTAAAATTAGAAGAGAGACTACTAACAATCAATAAAAGAAATATAATTCGGTGAAACATATACAGAGACAACAACTTTCGTTCACGAAGACAAGTATTAAAGTGTCTCTAGGATAAATGAGTGAATCTAAAATGGGTAACTGGTATTTCCTTTTCAAAAGTTACCATCAAGTTAAACCATCTTTCTACAAACCGATTTGAAGCACAAGCCCGGAAAGCAGTAGCCTGCGAGGGGCAGACGCTTTTTTCGGCTCTTGTTTCACCCGCCGAAAAAAGCGTCTGCTTCGTGCAAGCTAGGAAATTAGTAACGGTTAGAAGATGTGACAGGGTTCCTAAAAATTTGTTGATGTCTCATGCAAAACAGTTACATTTTTGGCACTTGATATAAGCAAAAACTAACCAAGTTTTAGCCAGGTTGTGGCTCCATGACTTTCATATTTTGTGTAGACTATATAAATACTCGACGCAATTTAACATATGTTTTGGACCTATTTAAAAAATTCAGTGTTTTTGCTTTTGGAAAAAGGGAAAGAGGCTAGGAGAATAAATACTGCATGAAACGTAAACGATTTCCAAGGAGAAAAGGATGTGCCTTGAACATTGAATTCATGGAAAACCTGTTGTTTGAACGGACGCTTTAATTCTCTGAGAGGATACCTATTTGCTGAGTTAGGATTTCGAGTTAGGAATGGTGTAACTAATTAGAAGTTGTTACGGGGTATCGGCGATTCCAGGTTATTAGTCGGTTACCGGTTACCGATTTGCTACAGGAAACCCATATTTTACGCATTTGTGCACCCTGAAACCAAGAAATAGTTAAGAAATAGCAATCTTAGACATGTCAAGCAACACTTCTTTCACCAATTTTGGAAAGTGAGCGCGTTTACATCCAACTCCTAACTAAGACGTCAACTAAAGAGGACTTTCGAGGACTCTACTTATTTTCACTGCTGTTTTGCTGTTTAGTGCAAAAATTGAAGACTGCGTCGTCATTGCCTGCTTTATTCTTTACATTATCGATAAAAAATGAGTCCATGACGATAGAGCTTGGTCTAATACGGACACTTTGGCATACTCTTGAATAACATACCGCTATATATACTTAGATCAATGGTGCACCAAGAATATGAACAATGGACTGTTTTTATTTGTTCAGGACCTCGTAGCTGTGGAATTTTCAAGTTCCTGTGGGCTGGCGTAGAACCAAAAGCAGTAATCGAGCATAATTCATTCTTTCCTCGACAAAAACGAAAATCTAGAGACCGTGGGATCAGCTCATTGATATCGTGCTTTCAATTTTCATCAAATGCCTTCAAGGTAGGTCATACCAGTTTTAAGATTTTAGTCACAGGCTTCCCAAACTCACTATGTGAGAACGGTTGTTTTAAAAATATTTATACATGTAATAATATTGCATGACGTAAGGATTTATAGGGTTCATATGGGAAACGTGAAAAACAGGGGCCCCCAAGGACCGATTGTTTCCAAATATGTCAGAAGTGTTTCGAATAGTTTTCTCTATGCTTTAGAAGCCTGTTTGGTTAACTTGATGCCTTAAAAACTATTAATTTTCTCCGACGTTTTAGGGGAACTTATAAGTCGACTTTAAAGTTTTACATCGCGCAGAACATCCGGACACTTAAGGTACGTTCACAGACGTTAACGCACGAAAATTTTAATCACTTAAATAAAATAGAGGCAAGATATAAGAGATATATGAGAAAACAATATTTTGTCGTAATTAATTTGTTGGGCGAGTGAGGGTCCATTCAAATGACAGTAATGAGTGAAGGCTTGCCTCTAAATTCAAAATACACTGTATATTAAAATGGGCCGCCAGAAGGGGGGTTTTCAAGCTTTCAGGCACACAGCCACCTCTTGTAATTTTTTGTCATGAGTTTATATAACCATTTGACACTTATCCATTTATTTCCAGTTATTCATAGCTGAATAGAAAGGAAAGGAGCCGTCCGTTTTTGTTTGTTTGTTTTTTGTTTTCTTGATTTGGTTCCGTCGTGTCAGTGTCATGTCTGGAGTCTGAAACAGGACAAGGAAGTCTGTTTGGATCTCCATCTGATCACGAGAATCACAGCAGCCCCTCCCATAAAAGTTCGAGTTCAACAAGAGAGAATGACCTAGATCATTCTCTCTTGAGTTCAATTATTGGGTCATTATTTTATTCTGCGGAACTAAAAATTATTTTTTTGTAGTTATGTGGAATAAATAGTCAACTTTGTTATCCGACGCAAATCAACAAAGGATTTAATTCAAGAAAGTCTAGTCGCCGAGAATAGCTACGCATTAATGTTTCCAAAATGAAATCTGTTCCACTAAAATGCAGTAACGTTGCAAATTCCAAAGCAACAAACAGATTAGAAGATGAATAGATTGCAAACTTCACTTGAGACTCCGGGAGATGGCTGAAATTCTGGCTAACTGATAACAGTTAGAAACTACCACTGCAATACCTGACTACCGCTGAAACTATTCTCTGCGAATGTAAATCTTGTCCACTAAATTCCAAAGCCACAAGCCGCCTTAAGCTCTTCTTGAAGTCGCAAAGCCGTATTAAAATGGATAACCGTCAAATGATCAGTAAACTGCATGGAAAACGATTACAAAAGGTGGCTGTGTGAGGAAAGCTTGAAAGAGTGTCTTGAAAACCCGCTTCCTTAGGCCCAATCTTAATATATTTAGAATATAGAGACAAGCTTCCACTCATTACTAATACTGTCCTTTGCATGGACACTCACTCGCCAAACAAATTGGGACAAAATACTGTTCTCTCATACTCGGAGATGATACCAGTTTGTTTGTTTTTTTCTTCCTTTTTCGTTTTTATGTTATGTTATGTTATTTATTTCGTTATTATAAGTTTGTAAAAAAATTATATTTTATTATTGTAATTTTTTTTTCATAAGAAAATATTTTAATTTTTTCATGTTCCGGGATGTTCCGGGATGTTCCGGGATGTTCTGGCATGTTCCGTGTTCCGGGTTTTATCGACGCCCAGATTTGGGCGAAGGTACCTCACGAAAATCGCCATTTTAAAATACCTAATGTCTACTTTTGTTATATCAAAGAGCGGCTTTTTATAGTTAAAGGAGGGCTAATATTCATGCAGTTCTGCAAAACAACCAGGAAAATCCAACGAAAATAAATTAATGTAGACTTTTTGCTTTTAACACTTTTCTTTTTCGGTGTTTCTAGTATGGGATTAAGGACAATGGTTACCGTGAATAAACTTAGCTACCCTGCGTGTTGGGTCCGGTCGAAAGATCGAGGACATGGAGTAGCCGTACTTTCATTGGGAAATTCTCTGGGATATTTGCTCTTTATACCGAAATTTTTAGGAGACTTTTTTAAATAGAATAATCTCAATATCTTGGTAGTAAAATGTGAAAAAGTTAACCGAAAATCGTTAGCATTGTATCTTAGACGCGAACAGAATTCATGTGGACGTAGCCTCCCACGCAGACGTTCTTAGGGCGGGTTCGTCACGCGTTCCTGCCCCACGGGAGGGTTGCGTGACGAGTTAAGAGAGCGTCTGCGTGGGAGGCTAGTGTGAACGGGGTCTTATTTGCCTTTGTTTTTGAGTGTGTTTACGTGTAATGATGAGTTTCAAACTAAGAAAAGCCGAGTAAAATTAAAACCGAACCACAACATCTACCCAGAGACATCTGACATCTCTGACATCTACCTAGTATATTAAGTGCCGTACTTACACCTTCCGCTGGCTAGTCGGGTGAGGATGATACTATTTTAATTTCATTTCATTAACTATTTTACATCAAACCTTTCCTGGACAAACACGTGACAGTGTATGTTCTCTTTATACGCCAGATCCATATATTTTGACTTCTCAAGTCTAAACTGAACGAAATGTCGAACCAGTCCGCCATGGACTTAGGCAGCAACTCAAAGGAAGAAGATATCTCAGATGGTGCAAATAGGGGAACTAAAAGGAAACACAGCGACGCCAGTAAAGACCCGCCCCAGCTTAGTGTTAAACTTCCCCGCATGAGTGATATCCAATCACCAACAAAGGATCGGAATCATGCACGCCTTCCTGTGGACATTTTGTTACTGACTGTAAAGGACTGTGAGTTCTTAGCTTGTTATATGCACCTGAACAATCCGTTCAGATGTTGGTTCGATGGTCTCGGTTTTGTTTACTTCGAGGACGAGAATGAAGGCCAAGATGAGAAAGTAAAAGTTGCTTTATTGCGATGCAATGAAGGTTCTAGTGGTCCAGGAGGCTCCATAGTAACTACAAAAAATGCTGTCTCAGTGCTTATGCCCAAAGCAGTTATTTTAGTGGGAACGTGCGGTAGCCTCCGTCCTGAGGAAACCAAATTGGGTGATGTTGTAATTTCTGCAAAGTTGACAACATATGGATTGAAGGTTGTGACAAATGATAAAGAGCTGCACAATAACATAAGAACGTTTGCCAGCAAACGATTTCTTGACCTCATTAAGGATTCAGCTCTTGGCTGGGAGGCTCCTTTGGAGAACACGGAAGATCGAGAAGTCAAAATTCACAGCAGCGGTGAGCTGTTGAGCGTTCCAGAAGTAATCAATACAGAATTGCGGCGTAAACAGCTGGCTGAAACCTTTCCTCTGGCAGTGGCTGTTGACACCGAAGCCGAAGGTAATGAAATCCCTGGTGGGGTAGGGGTGGAAAGTTGGGGGCTGGGGTATTATAGCAAAAATTAGAAAAAAATCGGTTGTCCATAGCAACGCGTTCTTTTTAATGCCCTTAGGGGGTCCCTTAGGGGCAGGTTAAAAACAAGCGCGAGATTTAACGAGCGCGCAATCAAACTTGATTGCGATCGTCGCTTCATCAACGGCGATCGTCGCGAATTCGATTACGTCGAAAACACCCAGACAGAGGCTCACCATTTGGATAATCTGTTCAGCCTTCTAGGTTTTTAAAATTTACAGGTTTTGAGAACGCACCTTTCAATTTGATACCCTGCCATTCATTTCATTTCTCAGCTATACTCAATGGTCCCATTTATGAGTGGTGCCGTGTTTCTGTTGCAGGACTTTACACAGCTGCATTTGACCTCCAAGTTGAGTGGCTTGTTGTAAAGGGAATTTCTAGTTATGCAGATGGAAGAGAGAACACAAATGAAAAATGGAGCGAATTTGCAAGTGCTAATGCCGCTTCTCTAGTTGCCAAGATTTTAAATGATGATGTCGTCTTCAAAAGATGGCCTCATTATCAAGGAAACGACGACAATTTTATCAAAGGTAGGTTCGTTTAGTAGACACAATATATAATATAGTTTCCACTTTTATATCGTGCTGTTGTTACTGACTCAACGATATGTTGGAAAACCCAAGGAGATACTAAGGGTAAGTTTTTCCCATGTCGTTTAGAATAAAAACGACTTATATGGAAAAGCAAGGAAGGAATAAGAGAATGCTTAAGCCTTTAAATAACCGCTTAGTAAACCTTTACGTATCCACGGGTAAAAGTACAGTAAAGTTAAATACATCTTGTCTGATCATGTCCTTGTTAATTGTCGTGTCCCGTCAGTGTTAAAAAGAATTGATGTTACAAAGAGAAATTTGAGGTTGATCACTCTCCACACGAATCTGACAGTCATGAAACCGCCTATCTATTTACCCGGATTCATAAGTGTGGACGTGAATGAAAATGAATGGCAAATTTCACAAGAATTGTGAAAACACAGGTAAAATTCGGAAAATTTCATGTTTAAGATGAATTTTGTGAAATTTGACATTTATTTTCTCGGGCTCCCATAAGAACGTTTCTTTGGTGTTATGACAGATAACTAATTACATCTTCAGCTCTTGAAAAATGTGAAAAAAATTGCAATACTCTTTTAATTATTTTGGTACAAGGTTTTTGTCCACTGAAAATTGAAATTACTCAATTTCCTGGTGGATTCCGTCTTAAACGCTTTTCTCAATCTAGAATCATAATTACAGCTAGTAGACATTATGGAAACGGGGAAAAACGCTATTGTACTCTTGTAAGCTGTAAATTTGACAAGATGTCTCTTATCCAGTAACTGTTTCACGCTTCATCCTGAATGGGTGGAAAGAAAAGGCAATTTAAAAAGGAAAATAGAATTAGATCATGGTCTCCGTGTGAAATAGCATAATTCTCGGATATAAAAGTCATAGAAAACCAAATAGAGTGTAATAAATAATGCACATGGACTCCATGTTCTGTCGCACTTTGTAACACCTATCACACTTTGTAATAACATCGTCGAACTTTTTAATAACACTTGTCGCACTTTGTAAAAACACTTGTGGCACTTTGTGATAAACTTGAAATGGATGGTGGGAGGACAAGTAAATCCAATAATAAGTATCATTATTGACAACAACAACAATAACAATAATAATAATAATAATAATCAGCAATTACTGAATGAGGCTGAATAGGATATGAAGAATTAAGCAGATCGAGGCGCTGTTATCCACCTCGGCCGATAACACCCGCCGAGATCCGCTTAATTCTTCATATACTACGAAAGCCGAACTCATTAATTACTTTATTATTCATACAAAATAATTCCTAGTTTAAAAACATAGCTAAAACATGCTTACCTGCATCAATGTTAATTCATCTTCGATAGTGTACGTTACGGTTTGTCCAACTCCGCAATTATTCTCCAAATAGCAGATGTTGCCCTCCGAGTTGTCTTCTTGCTGTTTTCGCCATGTTTTTAGCTATTATTTTGCATAGTTCCAGCTGTAGTTCTTACTCTTGAAACGAGTGAAATGTCCGCCATTTTTTTTCACAACCAAAACAACTCAACCTCGTCCCCAGGTCTTCTCGGTAACGGTGCCTTAACCTGTAGCGGACTGCATTTTTGACGCCATTTCCTCGTTAAACACAAAATTCTTCCAAATTCGGTCATCAGTAACTGGTTATGGTGAATTATGCGTGTGCTTTTAGCTAATCAGAATTGGGGAAATATTTTGAATGAATAATAATTGTTTATTATTATTATTATTATTATTGAGGATGTTTTATGATGATGATTATTTATATAAGGGCCACTCATAAAACGGCCACCACAATAACACAGATTATAATGTACTATTTATCTCCAACATCTAGGCACGACTTGATTGACACAACGACATAATTGGAGGTCATTATGAAGTCATGTTCTTGAATTTATTGGTAAAATCCAATTCCCTAATTTTCCCCTGAAAGCGAAAAACACTCAAATAGTAAGGTGTCTGACAAAATCAAGAAGTTGGCAAACACATCAATTATCTCAAAAAGTGACGTCATTCATTGTTAAAGAAGGATCTGGAACCTTTTCGTGGCCTACTGACAGATTTCAAGTTTACAATCAACTGTGCTCTGTGCAAAGTTAATACTCGTTTTCGTGACCCATAGGCTGGCTTTTCAGATTCTGCCGCGTATTTACTCCTCCTGTGGCGGGGTAGGGGGAAATGTCATCGCTAAAAATACTCATAAGAATGTTTGGGCCTTCAAATGCTATCGTGTTTGAATTACGGCGATAATCTCAAATCAAAAATGGGCTAATGCATGGTTCGTACTGTTTTATATAGGTCTTAGATGGTTTATCATCATGGACATAATTATTTTGGCGAAACAAGTACAGTCTAACCTCTCCTTACCTTACAGTCTAAGTACAGTCTAACCTCTCCTTACCTCTCCTTGCCTATTAAGTACCCATGAACTGTGTGTAAATTTAGCGTCCGTAATAGTCACAAAGCCATTTTATGTGACATATGTCAGAACTGGACACATTTAAAGTGCACTCCTTTTACATGTGAGGAATACATTGCTTTATCTAATACTAACGAAGATTGGTTCTGCTCATTTTGTCTTGCCACTCTATTTCCATTTAACCATTTTGAAGATGATACTGATTTCTCCTTTGCACTGTTCGACTTTAATTTTGAAGGAAATTTTGATCCTGAACTTCTTAAGCAAAAAGTGTTTAATCCCTTTTTTGATGACCCTGAGACATCTCATCTGCTAATGAACTCTAACCTTGATCCTAACCCCAATTTTTTTACCGCAAATTCAGAATTACTTTCGAACTGCATATATCTAACCTCTTCAGAATTTAACAAAATTCCTTTTCCTCCTGATGCATTTTCTGCTTTCCTTATTAATTTCCGTAGCCTCCCTAAACACTTTGACTACCAGTCGGAATATCTTCTTTCACGACTTAATATGTTGTTCTCTGTTGTTGCCGTTTCTGAAACCTGGTTACATAAGTCTAATTCTGATCTTTTTAATATTCCTGGCTACCATTTTATCTCCAATTCAAGAGAACATAAATTAGGTGGTGGAGTTGGTCTTTACATTCAGTCTGATATGATTTTTAAGCCTAGGATTGATCTTCAATCTTCTGACAATTCATTGTACGAATCAGTCTTTGTGGAAATCATGCGACCTCATGGTAAAAATATTATCGTTGGCTGCCTCTATAGACCTCCCGATGCCTTTCTTAATGACTTTAACAAGTCTGTTGAAGATGTCTTGTCAGCCATCAGTTTTGAGAATAAGCTATCTTATATTATGGGTGATTTTAATATCAACATCCTCAACTCTCATTCTCATCAACCTACAAATGAGTTCATTAATCTTATGACATCTAATACAGTAAAAACCCGCAACTAAGAACCTTCATTTTTAGGAGTTAGCCTAAACAGGTTCTTATATAAATGGTAGTTAACAGAATTTTAGGCTATTTGGGTTCTTAAAATGGGTTCTTAATCCTGGAGAAAAAGTAGTTAGTATGCTTTTTAAGTCTACATAATTATCTTGCACTCACTTTTCTTTAAAAAACATTTTTACAACAATGACAATCTGCTTTTTTTGCTTCAAATATGATTCTTGCAAAGCAGCTGTAATGTACTAGTATGATTTTAGAAAATAAGAACCTGTTTTATATTTCTTAGGCGAAATAGGTTCTTGTTTATAGGGGGTATAAATGACCAATTTTAGGCTAACAGGTTCTTAATTTTTAGGTTCTTAGTTGTGGGTTTTTACTGTAGCCTCTATCCTTTGATCTCCAAACCAACTCGCATAACTTCCTCAACTGCAACTCTGATTGACAACATATTTACAAACAATCTTGAACTTAACATGAATAGTGGCATTCTTTACACTGACTTATCTGATCACCTCCCAGTTTTTCAAGTTACCCACTTGAAAATGATTGTTGAGCCACCACGCCAAAAGAGATTTGTACGTCTTATTAACTCAACAACTATGTCAGCATTCAGGTCTAAACTGGAAGGTGTCGACTGGTCTTCAGTCTATTCCAATGATTCTGTAAATGAATCTTATGACACATTCTCTAGTCTTCTTACTTCGGCATACAGTATGTCATTTCCTCTTCAACCCGCACGTTCTAAACCTCACCGCTCTTCAAAACCCTGGTTCTCAAATGGTCTCTTTACTTGTTGTAAAAGGAAAAATTCTCTTTACAAACAGTTCCAGTTAAACCCAACTGCACTCAACAAGTTGAGATACAAAAAATACCGTAATAAATACAATTTTCTCATCAAACTTGCCAGGAAAAAATTCTTCTATGACAAACTGCTCTCTGTCAGTTCAGATTTAATAAAGACATGGTCAGTCATAAAACAGATTATCTCCAAAAAGGAACCTGAGCAACGTTTCAATAACATGAAAGATAGTTCTCGTTCATACTCAAATCCTACTCAGATAGCTACAAAGTGTAATAATTTCTTTGCTAATGTTGGTCCTTCTTTGGCAAATAAAATCTCTCCCACTCAAATTACGTATAGAGAGTTTCTGATTGGTCATTATGCAAAGTGTTTCTATCGTAACCCAACTTCTCCCACTGAGGTTGCTAATATAGTCCATGCTCTAAAAAATAGTAAATGTGAGGGTTTTGATGGCCTCTGTATTTCCCCTATAAAAGATACTATTGATTCAATAGCTGCCCCTTTGACCCATATCTGTAATCTGTCATTTTCTCAAGGTGTTTTTCCAGATAAGCTTAAAACAGCCAAGATCCTTCCCATCTTCAAATGTGATGACTCTTCCTTTTTCTCTAACTACAGGCCTATTTCTATTCTTCCCTGTCTTTCCAAGGTCTTCGAAAAGCTCTTTTACTTCAGATTGTCTGGATTTCTTGAAAAATTTGACATGCTTCTTTTTTCTTTTTTGTGCAAGGCACCATTATGGCTGCCACGTTTTCAGGAGCTTTTCGCCTATTTACTATTTTTAGTGTTCTTCTCGTTCTGAATGCTGCCCAAGACTCCTACAATTATCACTCTACGGGAGTTGAAAGTCCTTGGTTTCTCAAACATATTTAATCCAAGTCTACTATGCCTAAATTTAGAGTTCGCCGACCGGTGGTGTTGTGGAGGCGTCCACTGCCTAACCTTGCTTGCAGTACCGGAGAAATACATCATACTAGATATCACTATAGACACGGACGTCGAGTCACAACCGGTCCAGAGACAGACGGGAGTCTCGGAGGAAACAATAAGAACTACCCGACGTTAATGCGAACTAAGCCAGCGTCTTTGGAATGCTCTGAACTCTTGTCGCTCCGAAACAAAGCCTCCAAGCCATCTCTGGCCGTTCTCTCTCAGTTCAAGTCACTCGGCGTTCTGAAGTACCGTGGGCAACGTGGGACTGGAATTTCACGATCCACCTCAACCAAGAAAATCCCGGTGATGCAAGGCCGCCTTTTCGTCAAGGCTGAAGGTCGGAAAGTTGATCGGAGTAACTTAATAAATATTCCGTTCGTCAACACAACTAACGAAACATCCACTTCCAAATCAACGGAATTCGCTGTCCCAAAGTGTTTGTTTACGAACATTTGTGGCATGTCGAAAACAAAGAATCGTGTGCGAGCACCTGTGGCGCTCGAGGCTGACCTGAGATCTCAGGACATTGATGTGTGTGTTGTCAGCAAAACTCATCTTTCCACCAATATGCCGGACGCCGTGGTGAATATCCCAAATTACAATGTGTTCAGGCGGGACAGAGATTGGGCAGGCTTGGACAAAAGGAAAAAAGGGGGTGTTGCGGTCTATGTGAGAGACAGTCTTAAAGTCCTGGATGTTTACGGTTCAATTTCTATGAGTTTATTGCTTTGACAGTGCTGTTGCCGTCCGATCACATTATGCTAATTTGTGGCCTGTATAATCCTCCCAAGCATAGCTACCGGGATATAGACTTAATGAATCTCCTTTGTGGACCTTGTTTTGAACAAACACCCAGAAGCGGCTATTGTTGCGGTGGACATATAAATCTTCTGGACATGCAAGAATTTAAGGCTTTGTCTGGCTGAGATTTCATGGTTGATTTCCCCACGCAGGGTAACGCGTGCTTGGATCTGTTCGGTCAAGCATATTCCATACATATGCTTATTAAGACAGACCATGAAGGCTTTGTTTTACCGGCGGGACTAAAACTTAAACCTGTGCGCCGCAAAGTTCTTGTGCGGGACTGTAGGGAACATCGGAAACAGTCATGTTTCTTCTAATAATACTGTTGTGTGTGGGGTCCCTCAAGGTTCTGTTCTTGGCCCTTTATTATTCCTCTTATACATTAATGATCTTTTTCTTTCTTCAAATTTTCTTTCATTTATTCTCTTTGCTGATGACACCAATATTTCTTTTCGTCATAAAGACTTGGCTACTTTCGCTAGAATGGTTAATCAAGAGCTTTCTCATGTCTCCTCCTGGTTTAACGCAAACAAGCTTACTGTTCATCCTGATAAATCCAAATTCATCATCTTCCATCCACAACGTAAACAGATCAATCCTTCAGAATTAAACATCTTAATAAATAACACCCCTATAGCGCGGAACACCGCGGCAAAACGCAATGCGCATGAGCACAAAATTTAATATCCGGTCAGCTTTTTATTTCCGGTCTAGTATGTAAACTAATAGCGTAAGCATAACTTTGCCGTCGCGCCAAGTTTAAAAGCAAAAAGGGCGAAACAGACAAAAAAGGGGGCCAAAAAAATCACTTCATTCGAAAGCTTATATATTTTTCTATTCTCAAACTTTTGCACCACATGGGTATCTGTTTACAGCAACGGTGAAAATGATGTTTGAAGTTTGCAGGTCGCGAGCGCTCGACAAGACGAATTTGTTCTTACTGGCTTTCTTGCATGCTACTGGTTTGGCATAAGTTAATTTGGGAGGAGGCGACAACTAAGAAAAGAATAACAATACTTATGAAAGAAACCAAAATAAAGACGTCATCATTATCATAAAAAACACTAAAACCAGGAAATAAAATTTTAGTCCGTTCAATAATTTGTTTTATTATCAGAGAAAACAAGAACTCAAAACAAAAGATGGGCGGGATTTAATAACAACTTTGACTTTGATGACTGCAGAAACTAAACATGCCTATAAATGACTTTCATTCAAGAAAATGCCTATTTAATTCTTTTACATGGTTGTTTTCTTGTTGAAGACTTCAATAATTTCAGACTGTGCGGCTCGGATGCATCTCATGCAAACACGAAACTTCTAGCTGCTAAATACATGGCATGAAAAGTTCGACTTCTAAAAGCCACTGAACCAGCTTTCGCTCTCTGATTCTGAGAATGGAAAAATAAATAAATAGAGTTGTCAACTTGCTGCCAACCGGCCCAACAGTATAATTAAGCTTATGTTTCATGGCAATCAACCCAGAAGAGTTTCGTTTTAAAACACGGTAAAACCCAGTGGTAAACAAAACTACAAAGCGATTGTGAGTTGTCGTTTTCCAAATAAAGTTTGAATCGGCTTTAACACATGTAGACTGAGAAACTGAAGAACTGAAAATTAGAACTACAATACACAAGCTTGCAATGATAACGTTTTAATTTTATGTCTTAGTTTCAGCCAGGTTAAGTGAAAAATAACAGTCAAAAACTTTATTTTCGTGAATAAAAATCAGTTTACCTGACGCTCTAGCCAAATTTACTCATTGAGTTATTATCATCTTACCATTTCCGAATCTAATCGACTAATTGTTTCAGTGATCTGTGCCTGGTTATCCATAAAAGCAATTTCAATAACTACAAAATAGCCAAAAACACGAGCAGCATAAAGCAGAACAACTGAACCACAAGCTGCACACAGAATGAAGCTGAGAGCGCGCGGGAGACTTTGACTGGAAAGTGTGACTGAAAAAGAGACCGGAAATGCTCAACCTGGCGCATGCGTAGACGTTTTGCCGCGGTGTTATAGCGCGGGTACAGGAACATGAATTTCATGGAATAATTATTTACGAAAACCTTTGATAGAAACCTCACATCACCTCCATCTGCGATAAAGTCGCTAAGGTTATAGGAATTTTGTCTAAATCGAGACGATACTTACCTTCGGTCGCTCTAAAAACCTTATATAATTCCCTCTTTCTACCTTATATCAACTATTGTAACCTCATCTGGGCATCTACATATGCCTCCTACCTTGAACCCCTCCATCTACTCCAAAAGAAAGCCATTCGAATTATCACGTTTTCTCCTCCACGAACTCGTTCTAAGCCTCTTTTCTCCAAGCTTAATATTCTTTCTCTCCATTCACGTTATAAATTTCATGTTTCTTGTTTTGTATTCTCACACTTTAATCACCTTTTACCTGCCTCTCTTTCCTCGCTCATCCACTTTAATTGTGATTTTCATGATTATCAAACTCGTTCTCGTTTCAGCTTAAATAAAATGTCTCTCAGGTATCAATTTGCGATTAGTCCTCAAGCCCCGACTATTTGGAACGATATCCCCTTGACTGTCCGTGACAGCCTTACCACTACTAACTTTAAAAAGATAAGCCTGAATTGAACTAGCGTAGGATTCTCATAGTTTATTGTTAGTTTATTTGTCACTAGTTCCGTCTCTGTTATGGGACTGCATGCATGTAAACTTATTTAATTTCAGTTTTGTATCTTGTTTTAGTTTTGTAGTTTAACTTACAGTATTCATTTCTATATAAAATAATTTCTGTCATTCTGACCACAGACCGTATAAGCCCCCGGCTTTGGCTTTACTGAGTTTGTACTATATGAGCGATGGAATAATAAAGTCAAGTTAAGTTAAAAAGTTACGGACACCTCTCTATTACGGACAGTTCGTTTGGTCCCAGAAATGCAAAAAAACATACATTCCCTACCTCTATAAGACGGAAACCTCTGTAAAGTGTACAAAATTAATGGCTCTGTCCCGTTGGTGTCCGTATTAAAGAGGTTTGACTGTAGCATACTTCAAAGGTCTAGGCAGAGACATCTCAATATTTTGCTAGACAGAAAGAACTTGTAGCAACGAGAGGCGAAAAATGCCTTGTTGTTACAACTTACATAGAGATTGGAACTTGAGCATAAACGTTCGAGACTGAGATCTTTTGTTAGTATCATTGAACTTAAGATTTGCATTTCGTAATTTCATAATGGTCCCATAATGGCTCTTGATCTTAGCTGGGCCACTCTTTGCGATGTCGCATTTTCCGATTATTATGAATCTATTTTGTTTCATGTCGGTTCTAGCGCATTCGAAATTTCCACAAAATTAGCAGTCATTGTGGCACAATGATATGCAGTAGTGCGATAATAACAGTAATAATAACGATGATGATGATAATGATTGTAGCACCGTGTTGTGCTCGATGTCTGTGTAGGGCAATTTCCAAGTAAAAGCCTCCGCTGGGCTTATATTGGGAGGGGCGATTTAACGGAGGGTTTTTTGCGTTACGGGCTTGGGGGGCTTATGTTTGGAGGGGCTCATACATGGACGGGCTTATTTTCGGAATTTTACGGTATTTCGTTACAAAGTGCGACAGCTTTTTATTACAAAGTGCGACAAGTGTTATTACAAAGTGCGACAATTTTATTACAAAGTGCGACGATTATTACAAAGTGCGCCAGAACACTCCATGAATGGGTTATTAACTAAGTTGTCTCGTACATGTATTCTTCATATATTTTACGGCCATCTTCAGTGCAGAAAAATAGTAATTCCTCACCAGGCCTCTTACGGATTTTCATCGCCTTAGTCTTCTTAACATTGATCTTCAATATTACCCTGCTTTAGTTGGGTCCCTTCTGTAACAAATTAGATGCCGCTTTTACTTTGATGACTTTAAGAGGCATAGAGGTATAGCAAAGAGTCATTTCTTCCCGATAAGCCAACTTCATGGCTAAAATGTTACAAAGCCCGATCAAGGCTTAAACTAGCATTCCCCGCGAAACTTACGTTTTTATTCAACAAAGTAACATTTCATTTAAATTTTCAGAATGATACCTCCCAAAAAAACCGCGAGGTTTGGAGTCTTGTCGTGAGGCCGTGAGAAAAGTTAAAAAATCTTGAGACTCACGGCAGAATCATGAGAGTTGGCAGGTCTGTGTCTCCGCGCGGCCATGCCATCTCCTCTATTTGGCTATCGATTTTACTCAATTGGACTACTTTTGGAACACGTAAAAAAGGAACCAGAAATACCAAGCGATCGGCCAAAATAAGAACATACAAAGTAATTGGGCGGGAATTTCACATTTTAGACCCTTATATCTTTTTAGTGAAGGGACATATGTTAATTTTGTTTTTCAGTTTCGAATTCCTTTCGAAAAGGTCTTACCGTTTATACCCCATAACAATACAATTAAAAATTCAGGCTAAATATTAGGCGTCCTTTTCCCTACAAAAATATCTAGATCTGAATCATGCTGTAAAAGAACCTACAAAAAGTTTAAGTGAATGACGATGTTTATAATGTTAAAAGATTTTATGGTAATTGCATTAAAACTCTGAAAGATGTTTTTAAATTTGAATTTCGCAGATTTTTTCTTTCTTGCTAAAAACAACACTGGGACAGATTATTCACCCCATATTGCACAAATCCTCAGAATAGAATTCAAAGGCCTTTGAAACCTTAAGCTGTAGTGACTTTGCAGCCCCGAATCGAAGCTGGCGGGATCGTTCAAAGAAGTGCGGAGAATGGGGAGGAGAGGCTTTAAATTCAAAACTGTCACAGGCACGAAAGCAATTCCGACATCGACGCAGGCTCTGACTTTGCGGTGCTTTTCTAAGTGATTTTATTCAAATTTAATTGGGAGAGCAAGGGTGAGAGCACTCGCCTCCTTCCAATGTAGCCCGGGTTCGAATCCTGGCGTCGACGCCATATGTGGGTTGAGTTTGTTGTTGGTTCTCTCCTTTGCTCCGAGAGGTTTTTCTCCGGGTACTCCGGTTTCCTCCTCTCCTTAATAACCAACATTTCCAAATTCCAATTCGATCTGGAACTCACAGACACGTTTCAACGAGTTCCTAAGAACTCCTAAGTGTTCCGTGGGAAAACAAATTACAATAATTACAATAACTTATAATAATAATTAAATTTAAACTATTGAAAGTGAGAAGTTTTAAAAGATGATTTAGGTCCATCACTTGACTTAATTATTATATAAGATGCTAACATTCTTGTGTGCCTAGTCTTGTTGAGATGAGTCTGAATTCGCCTTTTCCTTTTTCCCAGAATTATTTAGTAATCCTAAGTGTCTTACCGTGGATGCATTGGTCTTAGGCTTGCGTGCAGACGTATCATATTTCTTTTATTGCACGCAGGCTTATTTGTATTAGTAAAATCCAACTAGTGGTCTATTATCAATGCTGCGTTCTGATTGGTTGAGCTACTACTAGACTATATGTTATAGCCCACTAGTAGCGAAAAGCGCCGGCGCTTGAAAACCAAAACAATGGCGGCTGAATCGCGTTTTGCTAGCTAAAGTTGTTTTGTCTCGATATTTTTGACCAGCTATTGGGGGTTTGCTAATTACAATTATTCCTCTCGCCCTCACCGCCTCTGAGTCAATAGCCCATTCGGCCTTCGGCCTCCTGGGTTATTGAGTCAGAGCCCATTCGGGCTCGAGGAATAATTGTTAATTAATGCATACCAGAGCGGGGTACACGTTAGCCTACGTATCAGGCCTTCCTCAGGGACTTTGGGGAGAGGAAATCTTAGATGGGGGAGGGGGTAAAGAGGAAAGAGGTTTCTATCCCTTTGCTCTATCTCCTTTTCGCTTTTCTCTTCTCCTCTCCCCCAGAAACGCCTCATACTCAGGCTAGGTACACATTATTGTCATCCAAAGTTTAACGAGGGTTAGTCAGTGTGTGTCGAAGTAAAGAAAGTAAATGTACCGTTGCCTAGCCTGCTAACTGTTGCCTGAATTCAAACCTGCCCCCCACTTAACTGCGAATATAAAGAGGTTATTGAATAAATCGCTTCATTAGCACTGAGTTTTCATTTGGAAGGTCACATATTTGAGTTACTTCCAGTGGCGGTAGTTACATTAAATTGCCATCTTTATATTATAGTTGGTCTTTATCTATTTGCTTTCTTACTTCTTTTGATTTCAAAGGCCATGAAAATAATCGTTAAAGTTTCATTGTTTCTTTGTGTTTGCCTTGGTCACCAAAAAGTGCAAATTTGACTGTTATTCTTTATCATTTACGTCTAAAGGTGTGAGACCATCGCCCTTGGCAACTTCCCTCCCTAAAATGGTTCCTCATTTTACTGGGCGTCGAAGCGAATGTGATGAGATCATGGGTCACTTGACTTCTGATACTACCCAGCTTGTGACGATCTGGGGTTCACCTGGATTTGGAAAAACATCTGTTGCAATTGCGGTGGGACACGATCTCCGAAACAAGGGAATGCCGGTGTGTTGGTTGTCCTTACGTGGTCTGAGGTCAAAAGCTGCTCTAACTTCAAAGATTCTCGGCTGTATCAGGCCATCTGTCATAAATGAACAGCCCTCGTTTTTGCGTCTTTCTCTTGATGATCAGCTTTGTCAGTTATTAAGCGAAATTTCGGAACGATCTTTTTTCATTCTCGATAATGCTGACGATTTGTTGGAAAGTGGTGACCCAGAAGTAAAGGAAGATGTTTTACAACTCATTGAAGAAATTCTCAGGCGCAATGAAAAGTTGACAATCGTAGTAACAACGAGGGAGTCTCTGGAGTTTATGAACGTACATTTTCAAGGCCACAAGAGTGTAAGGATAAGAACACTGGAAGAAGCCAACTCTCAGACCTTAGTTCAGGAATTACTTTCAAACGTCAGTTCTTTGGAGTGTCGGCGAATCACACAAATCTGTGGCTTTGTACCCTTAGCAATTAAATTATTGTGCTGCGCGATTTCTGAATATAAAGCTCAACCGAGCCAATTCCTTGATGAATTCATGCAGCACTCCGCTTCGGCGAGTATCATCGAGATGTTAGACAACGCAGATTATCCTCCCAATCACAGATTGCAATTTCTTGTTTCCTCATCTTTCCAAAGACTGAATGTACAGGAACGAGAAGCACTAGTCTCGTTAAGTATTCTTCCTGATAATTTCGGTAGTGAGGTTGCTTCAGCCGTTTTGGGTAAAAACACCTTTCATACCAAGAAGATATTGCAAAGCTTTCGGAGAAAGTCACTTCTTGATTCAGGTTTGCAGGAAGAGTTCTTCACGATGCACAAACTTATTCAAACATTTGCAAGAGAAAAGGGACTAAATGAAATGAAAGACACGGTCCTTAAATCAAAGCATCATTTGAATTCGTTTTACGTGTCACTGTTTGAGAAGCTGAATAGGCAATATCTCACTGGTCATTCAATGGAGGCCTTTCTGGCATTCTATAAAGATGAGCAAAGCATTGTTCAAAGCCTATTGGAGTCTCTTTCTGATCCCATTGCAGCACGCGCAGTTTTTGAGGTGTTAGCAGAAGGAGAGTTATTTCTGGATAACCTTTATTTCTTAGAAGCATCAACCTTTAACAAAATTTACGATTCAGCAATTGAGGCTGCGAAGAGGCTGGAGGCAAACGAGTCTTACAGTCAACTTCTGGTTTCAAAGGCGTTCGCAGAAGCATGTTGGGGACCGAATGGAAGTACGAAGCAGTTGCTTTGTAGAGCGAAGGAAACGGCGGAATCCTCGGCCCTGCGATTTTTTTCCAAGTCAGAACCACAAGGAAAACGTCTGTGTTATTTAGGCATCAACTACCTTGCTAGCTCTAAAACTGAAGAAGGAGTTCAGTATTTACGAGAGGCTCTTCAGTTGATGTATGGGAGCCCAGATTTGGCAGTACTTAGGCTTGTTGCTCTCCAAATTCTTGGTCATTTTTCCCAAATTCAGAACCATATGCTCGACTTGAATCAGTTACTGTATAATGCAAAAAAGGAATGCAAGGCAGTAGGAGACACGGATCTACTTTTGATATCCTCATGGAAAAGCAAAGAGAGAAAAACTGAAGTAGTCGAAAACCAGACAGACTCTAGCATTCTTTCTAACCATCCTCTAAGATGGCAAGTACTTGACCTGGTAAGCAAGGCAACGAAGAACTTCGTGGATACTGATACTAAGCAACATTTTCGAAATATTTCGCATAAAATGCTGAAAGAGATCGAAATAGAGCACCACGTTTCAAGCGGTCTCTTTCGTTTTCATCGAAATGTTATAACCTTATTTAAGACAAGTGGAGACACTAAAATGCTCCTTAAAACAAGAATCAATTACCATCAAACAGCCCTCAGTCTATGCAACGAAAATTCGTCCGCTTACCACTTGCACGGTGAAGCTCTTGCAGCGTGTTACATGGATCTTGGAAACTTTCTCTCCAGGAAAAATAAATATTCTGAAGCCTTTAGAGCCCAAAAGCAAGCACTGGGCTTGACAATCCCTCTTGAGGGAGAAGAACACGCAAGCGCCGCTGTTAGTTATGATGAGCTTGGCGTCATTCACCATTCACCTAAAGACTTAAAGGCAGCAGTAGATTGTGGCCAGCACGCACTTGAGATCCGTCTTAAACTGTTCGGAGAAGGACACCCAAGTACCGCTGATAGTTATCGTGATCTTGGCGTCACTCACCATTCACTTGGAGACTTCAAAGCAGCACAAGATTCTCTACAGCACGCACTTGAGATCCGTCTTAAACTGTTCGGAGAAGAACACGCAAGCACCGCTGATAGTTATCTTAATCTTGGCGAAACTCACCATTCGCTTGGAGACTTCAAAGCAGCACTAGATTCTAAGAAGCACGCACTTGAGATCCGTCTTAAACTGTTCGGAGAAGAACACGCAAGCACCGCTGATAGTTATCGTAGACTTGGCGTCACTCACCATTCACTTGGAGACTTCAAAGCAGCACTAGATTCTTACAAGCACGCACTTGAGATCCGTCTTAAACTGTTCGGAGAAGAACACCCAAGCACCGCTGATAGTTATCATAATCTTGGCGCAACTCACCATTCACTTGGAGACTTCAAAGCAGCACTAGATTCTTTACAGCACGCACTTGAGATCCGTCTTAAACTATTCGGAGAAGAACACGCAAGCACCGCTGATAGTTATCGTGATCTTGGCGTCACTCACCATTCACTTGGAGACTTCAAAGCAGCACTAGATTCTAAGAAGCACGCACTTGAGATCCGTCTTAAACTGTTCGGAGAAGAACACGCAAGCACCGCTGATAGTTATCGTAGTCTTGGCGTCACTCACCATTCACTTGGAGACTTCAAAGCAGCACTAGACTCTAACAAGCACGCACTTGAGATCCGTCTAAAACTATTCGAAGAAAAACACGCAAGCACCGCTGATAGTTATCGTAATCTTGGCGTCACTCACCATTCACTTGGAGACTTCAACGCAGCACTAGATTGTGACCAGCACGCACTTGAGATCCGTCTTAAACTGTTCGGAGAAGAACACGCAAGCACCGCTGATAGTTATGTTAATCTTGGCGAAACTCAGCATTCGCTTGGAGACTTCAAAGCAGCACTAGATTCTAAGAAGCACGCACTTGAGATCCGTCTTAAACTGTTCGGAGAAGAACACCCAAGCACCGCTGATAGTTATCATAATCTTGGCGTCACTCACCATTCACTTGGAGACTTCAAAGCAGCACTAGATTCTTTACAGCACGCACTTGAGATCCGTCTAAAACTATTCGGAGAAGAACACGCAAGCACCGCTGATAGTTATCGTGATCTAGGCGTCACTCACCATTTACTTGGAGACTTTAACGCAGCACTAGATTGTGACCAGCACGCACTTGAGCTCCGTCTTAAACTGTTCGGAGAAGAACACGCAAGAACCGCTGATAGTTATCATATTCTTGGCGTCACTCACCATTCACTTGGAGACTTCAAAGAAGCACTAGATTCTTACAAGCACGCACTTGAGATCCGTCTTAAACTGTTCGGAGAAGAACACGCAAGCACCGCTAATAGTTATGATGGGCTTGGCGTCACTCACCATTCACTCGGAGACTTCAAAGCAGCACTAGATTCTAAGAAGCACGCACTTGAGATCCGTGTTAAACTGTTCGGAGAAGAACACGCAAGCACCGCTAAAAGTTATTATAATCTTGGCGTCACTCACCATTCACTTGGGGACTTTAAAGCAGCGCTAGACTCTAAGAAGCACGCACTTGAGATCCGTCTTAAACTGTTCGGAGAAGAACACGCAAGCACCGCTGATAGTTATGTTATGCTTGGCGTCACTCATCATTCACTCGGAGACTTCAAAGCAGCACTAGATTCTAAGAAGCACGCACTTGAGATCCGTCTTAAACTGTTTGGAGAAGAACACGCAAGCACCGCTGATAGTTATCATGGGCTTGGCGTCACTCACCATTCACTTGGAGACTTCAAAGCAGCACTAGATTCTGAGAAGCACGCACTTGAGATCCGTCTTAAACTGTTCGGAGAAGAACACGCAAGCACCGCTGATAGTTATCATGGGCTTGGCGTCACTCACCATTCACTTGGAGACTTCAAAGCAGCACTAGATTCTAAGAAGCACGCACTTGAGATCCGTCTTAAACTGTTCGGAGAAGAACACGCAAGCACCGCTGATAGTTATCATGGGCTTGGCGTCACTCACCATTCACTTGGAGACTTCAAAGCAGCACTAGATTCTGACCAGCACGCATTTGAGATCCGTCTTAAACTGTTCGGAGAAGAACACGCAAGCACCGCTGATAGTTATCATGGGCTTGGCGTCACTCACCATTCACTCGGAGACTTCAAAGCAGCACTAGATTCTAAGAAGCGCGCACTTGAGATCCGTCTTAAACTGTTCGGAGAAGAACACCCAAGCACCGCTGATAGTTATCATAATCTTGGCGTCACTCACCATTCACTTGGAGACTTCAAAGCAGCACTAGATTCTTTACAGCACGCACTTGAGATCCGTCTAAAACTATTCGGAGAAGAACACGCAAGCACCGCTGATAGTTATCGTGATCTAGGCGTCACTCACCATTCACTTGGAGACTTCAACGCAGCACTAGATTGTGACCAGCACGCACTTGAGATCCGTCTTAAACTGTTCGGAGAAGAACACGCAAGCACCGCTGATAGTTATCATATTCTTGGCGTCACTCACCATTCACTTGGAGACTTCAAAGCAGCACTAGATTGTGACAAGCACGCACTTGAGATCCGTCTTAAACTGTTCGGAGAAGAACACGCAAGCACCGCTGATAGTTATGATGGGCTTGGCGTCACTCACCATTCACTCGGAGACTTCAAAGCAGCACTAGATTCTTACAAGCACGCACTTGAGATCCGTCTTAAACTGTTCGGAGAAGAACACGCAAGCACCGCTAAAAGTTATCATAATCTTGGCGTCACTCACCATTCACTTGGGGACTTTAAAGCAGCACTAGACTCTAAGAAGCACGCACTTGAGATCCGTCTTAAACTGTTCGGAGAAGAACACGCAAGCACCGCTGATAGTTATGATATGCTTGGCGTCACTCATCATTCACTCGGAGACTTCAAAGCAGCACTAGATTCTAAGAAGCACGCACTTGAGATCCGTCTTAAACTGTTCGGAGAAGAACACGCAAGCACCGCTGATAGTTATGATGGGCTTGGCGTCACTCACCATTCACTCGGAGACTTCAAAGCAGCACTAGATTCTAAGAAGCACGCACTTGAGATCCGTCTTAAACTGTTCGGAGAAGAACACGCTTGCACCGCTGATAGTTATCATGGGCTTGGCGTCACTCACCATTCACTTGGAGACTTAAAAGCAGCACTAGATTCTGAGAAGCACGCACTTGAGATCCGTCTTAAACTGTTCGGAGAAGAACACGCAAGCACCGCTGATAGTTATGATGGGCTTGGCGTCACTCACCATTCACTCGGAGACTTCAAAGCAGCACTAGATTCTAAGAAGCACGCACTTGAGATCCGTCTTAAACTGTTCGGAGAAGAACACGCAAGCACCGCTAAAAGTTATTATAATCTTGGCGTCACTCACCATTCACTTGGGGACTTTAAAGCAGCACTAGACTCTAACTAGCACGCACTTGAGGTCAGTCTTAAACTGTTCGGTGAAGAACACCCAAGCATCGCTGATAGTTATGATGGGCTTGGCGTCACTCATCATTCACTCGGAGACTTATAAGCAGCACTAGATTCTAAGAAGCACGCACTTGAGATCCGTCTTAAACTGTTCGGAGAAGAACACGCAAGCACCGCTGATAGTTATGATGGGCTTGGCGTCACTCATTTTTCACTCGGAGACTTATAAGCAGCACTAGATTCTAAGAAGCACGCACTTGAGATCCGTCTTAAACTGTTCGGAGAAGAACACCCAAGCACCGCTTATAGTTATCATAAACTTGGCGTCACTCACCATTCACTTGGAGACTTCAAAGCAGCACTAGATTCTAAGAAGCACGCACTTGAGATCCGTCTTAAACTGTTCGGAGAAGAACACGCAAGCACCGGTAATAGTTATGAGTCCCTTTTCTTTACTCAACTTTGTCTTGGTGATTTGGAGGGAGCATTAGAGTCAGCAAAACTAACACGTCACGCCCAGATTGAAGTGGGAGAAAAGCAGGCAGGTCCTGATTAAACCGAGACATATGGGTTTGTTATTTTACATTGCACGGCTCCTGTAGCTTGGCGACCTCGGAAGATTTACTGAAACTGAGTATTGCTAACGGTCAACACTGTTGATACCAGCTGGCACTGTGTTCGGTCTTCGGCCAGTTTCAACCCCACATTCTTTAGTATATGAGTTTATATATAATGATAATTAGATTGGTCTATTTCAACGCTAAAAAGAGACAATTCACAAAATGCTCTCAGGGGCGGATCCAGGATTTTTAATGGGGGATGGGTGATACCAATCAGCTACCAAAGCATACCTTAATTTCTTTTAAGTTGTCCTACGTCTGTTCTAAAACATGGCAATTTAGGAAGGACGAATTGGAGACTGTAACACTGCAAACTCCTGAAACGCCACAAAAACTGAGAAGAAATAGAAGCTAATAGAAATACTTTACTAACCTAGTCGGCCAGAAGTGAAGACGCTGTCCTTCGTCTAGGGTGTAGCACCACAAATTTCTGACAAACCACACTTCTATCGATGGTAACTGCATGCTTTTGCATGCACGGCGATGACGGCCATATCTGAGAGTCATTCGATGGTCATTGTGTTGCGAAGCCAATTATGGATTCTCCGAATACAGGAAAATGATTTCTCCGCCTCCGTGCTTTCCATAGACAAAACGGTGAGAATTTTTACAGGATGTTTCAAACGTTCGTTCCGATTTTTTATTCGCTTAAATTTCACTAATTATTAAAAAAAACCTTTGGAAAACTTAGTATGTTATTCATTATTTATTATATAGACACGAGTGTTTTACTGGAAAGTATACCACTCGTAAAATTCAGAAAAACTACATTCGCGACCGGAGTGGTTTATTTTCCATATTTTCTCGTGGCAAAAACAATATTTTACTCACTCGCTGCGCTCGTTCGTAAAATATTGTTTTGCCACTCGAAAATAAAATTCATATCTTCGCGCCACCGTGTAATATCCTCTATTTATTTAACATTGAATAACTAAAATGTTAGTAGCCAGAATGTCTCCCTGTATGTTTTCTGACATTTTCTAAGCGGTGAGGTATAGAATGTACGAGCTCCCAAGGCGTGTCCAAAGTCACATTCTTCCAGGCGAAGCGTAGCCACTGTCTTAGCTTGCCCAGTGTTTAGGGGGGCTGGATCTTTGTATGTTGTCTCGTCTACGATAATCCAGAGGGTCTCTAGGGAGTTCACATCACATGAGTTTGCCGGCTGGTCCTCCTTTGGTCTAAAGTTGGCAAATCCTTCTGACACCACGCTTGCATGAAGTGTGCACCGCCTTTTCCTCTTCAAGGCTTTCCAACTTTTTTTGGTAACTTATCCCCTCACCGTTGTGCTCGAAACTTTGATCGATAATGTGAAGTTGAAATTTTTTTACCTCTCTGTTTTGTGGAATTATTAAGCATATACTTACAGCTTTTTCGATAATATTTCTCACACAGTTTGTGAAAAAAAGGCCATGCACTCCTTGGTTTGTCTTGTAAGGTCTTTACTTTTGACCTCTTGTTCGGTCATCGTTCAGACTTCTTCAACAATTTGACAATTTTTTTGGACTGAATGGCCAGAAGACCATAAAAATAGATGCCTGAGCTATAGCACAAACAGTGTAGGCCTTCATTTTCATGAACGAGTAGAGAAAATGAAAGAAAACGATAAAAATACCAAAATAGAAAACCTACAAAATGGGCAGGAAAAGTATGATGGGAAAAACCTCGTGTGCGTGTACAGTTGTGGCAAAAATTAAAAAAATTATAATTTCTTACCTGAATCACGTTACATTTGCCTAAAGAAGCATTAAATGCTTTGCGCAAAATACAATTTACAATCGGAACGAACTTTTGAAACACCCTGTAGAAGTTCCCTCTCGTTTGGGAAGGAGAAGTTGTCTGCGGGTTGTCTATCTGTGAGGAGACCGAGATGGATTCATAATCCGACACGCTTCCTGACCCTTCCAGCCCACACAGTTCCTGACTTTGGAAAGATGACGGCAAGGCATCAGATGGCCCCACTTCTCTTGCAGTACTTGAGCAAGTTCCGAGCGCGGATCTAGGATGAATACTAACGGAATTCCTAAACGAGCGGCGACGGGCCAAGCTTATAGGGGGGTCTGGGGGCATGCTTCCCCGGTACATTTTTCGGATTTTAACTTCCTAAAGTTCCCTTTCTTGGGTTTCTGAGTCATTCAGACAGGATATTTGAAAGAGTTCAACTTGGATTTTTTTCCATTTAAAATATATTTATTTATTTATGAAAAATCTGACCGATTTTCGTGAAAAGTTGGAAACCGGTGTAGATCCGCGCCTGAGTTCTACTGTGGCTTCTTGAGACGTCTTCATTACTTGAGGAATAAGAGTACATAGCTCATAATGTGCCCTCTTTTCCTGAGCAGATTACGTCAAGGAATTGTCACCGTTTCCTTCCAGTACTGTGCAGCTGACTATGCTGGGTACTTAGTTTTCTCGATTTCTTTGGGACCCACGTATTTCTGTATGTCTTTCCACGTATTAAATGTTTTTTGGTGGGCTGTCCTAAATAGGGGTGGCTAGCTACCCAATCCAACCCCACTGGATCCGCCCCTTGCTGTACCTGTAAATAGTAGGGCTAAAATAGTTGGGTAGAACAGTTTTGTCCTATAGAACGATTTTTAATGCCCTCAAACCCTAATCATTCTTGTAAGGGTTTTCGGTCCCCAGCTATTCAACGACTGGGAAAGCTTCTAATGGAGCTAGGAAACTGTCCTATTGCAGCTCGCAACTGGAGACGCCTACGCTAACCTCTGAAAGGTATTTTAGCTGACCTATTTCCAATCAACATAATAGTATTTCTGATTTTATTCCTTCTAGACGAGGTTTTAGAAAAGCCCATTTGAACATCAACAGTCTAACTAAACACATTGATGAATTGAGAATTCTCCTTTTTGATTATTCTGTCGATATCATCTCAATTAATGAAACTAAACTTGATGACACTATCAAAAGCTGTGAGGTCCATATACCAGGCTATGAATTTATTCATCGTGATAGAAACAGACAAGGCGGAGGAGTAGGCTTTTGTATAAAAACCTGTAGTTGTTCTAATCTAAATGTACCTAATCTTGAAAATTTATGTATTAAAATTCGTAAGCCTAACTCAAAGCCATTTCTGATAGCTACATGGTATCGACCTACTTGCTCTTCGCTGATTTATTTTTATATTACTAATCATTTCTTGAAAAATTAGATTCTATTGGTCTTGAATATTATCTTTTAGGTGATTTAAGTTGTAACCTGGCCTCTTTACAATACGATTCAAATACTCTTCACTTATGTGAAATTTCTGATTTATTTGGGCTTCAACAACCTATAACTGAACCTACTCGCATAACAGAATCCTCATCAACTTTAGTTGATTTAATTTTTACATACTATGCTGACAGGGTAGTCTGTTCCGGAGTCTCTCATATTGCCATCAGCGATCACAGCCTTATTTACGTTTATAGAAAATTATCGCCTGCTTTTCCTTCAAAAGGGCATTCAACCATTTCTTACGGAAATTTTAAAAATTCTAATCGAGAGAGTTTTCGTAACGATATCGCTCAGCAGGACTGGACTTGTAACGGCTCTGATGATCCTAATGTTTTGTGGGCTGATTGGAAAACGAAATTTTTGGATGTTGTTAACTTTCATGCTCCACTCCGAACTAGACGCGCTAGAATAAAAAAAGCACCTTGGATCAATTCAGAATTAAAGAAAGGGATGCGCGATCGTCATGCTGCCAAAAGAATGATCCACGCGACTGGGCAAAGTACAAAAAGTTGCGAAATACAATAAACAATAACATCAAGACTTCTAAAGCATCTTATTGTTTCAAGAGCCATTATGGCTCTTGATTATTTCTAATGCTTTTAGTCAATCTAAAGGTAATTCTCGAAAAACATGGCAAACCATTAACGAACTTACTTCCCGTCGCACCAACAATACAAAAAAAAAGTAAATATAAACAGATTCCTAAAGACAAAAGAAAAAATTTATTCTAGTACACAATATCCTGTCAAGCAACCTTTATACTATCAATATCTTAATTAATTTTGTTTCTTTTGTGTATTTCTTCTGTATTTTAAGGATCTATGTTTATGTAATGTGTGTAGAAAGTGAAGCCTAAGCAAAGGCCGTGTACTATATTTAAAAACAAACTAAAAAGAGGCAAGTGGCATGTTGTTATCCGCTTAAGCAATTTCGCACCTTCCTAGATTTCACTCTAGACCCGCCTTCTGAAAGGATTTCCGCCATCTTGGAACGCTTTGGTCTTCGCCGCTTGGTGCATTACAAATGGTCTTTCCTTGGAGAATATGCTACAAAAGTGCTTAAGCGATCCACTCCCCATCCAGGGATAAAAATTGGCAGCAAATGTCAACAAATCCCGCTCCATGCCCTAGTATGACCCCCGGGG